AAGTGTCACCAGCACAACTGCTGAGTTTGGAAGATGCCAAACGCTTTACTAGTAGACATATCATGTTCCTCCTGTGGATTATAGTAGTGCACAGCAGAATCCACAGGGGTTCTTTGGATTCTGATCTAGTGACAAATCATTTCATGAGCAACAAAGAAGATACAATCATTGATGTTTGCTGGTGCTGATGTTTTGCAGATCAACCATTCTTGTTGGGAACAAGKGATACATTTGGCCATTATTGTTCCTGTCACCAATCCTCTGGGCTCATAACCTGTGGGAGTGACTGTCCTAATAGTGATGTAAAGTGTGTGCTAGTAGAAAAGTGAGTCGATGCTCTTATCAAGGATCGACAAACTACTATGAAATCTAGAATGGATCGCTGTGGGGATCGAGTGGTGCCTGAGGTGTGAATTGAATGAGTCGAGTCACTCACGCAAGTGAATGACATGAGTCATGTCGATCATATGAATCCAGTGGGATCGCGTGAGTCATGTATGTATGGTGTGTATGATACGTATCGTATGTATGTGTCGTATGTATGAATCATACCCACAGTCTGATATCCTACAGACAACAAAAAATCTAGATTGCTTCAATTTTTCTACATGATTGGTTGCCCAATGGACAGAATGCCTGTTCAGCACTAGTTGTTTAAAGAGTTTAGAATCATCTTTTTAATTAAAGTTCAAAATGGGTACAGTTCTTTGGTAAAAGAACAACTCCCAAAATGTTGTTACTCTTGAATTCCAATCTCAGTTTTTTCTCTAGAAAAGGTTTATTCTTGACACATCTTAAGAACTCTAAATCACAATCATTTTTCCATCTGTCCTCTGTCTGTTCAATTTAGTAGACTTTCCAGAATGATGGGTCTAGTACTACTTCTAGTACTAGTAGAGTAGTAAAGGGAATGCCCAATTCAATATCAGTGAAAAAATGACTTCAAAGGACTCATGAAATCCACTCTCAGTTTAGAGCTTTTAGAAAGGGGCTGTTGGTGCCTTGTAAAAATTCTCAATTACAACAATTATTTTTCCTTTCAGTGCTCTTAGTCAGTACATTTTATTTCCTTTCTCTGTTGCAACAAAGAGAGCAACAATACAATGAGGAGGAGGAGGAGGCCAGCCACAAAGAGAAAGAGGAGGCTATCAATTGCCCCATCCCCCACACTAGTATTTTTGTAGTAAGAAAGAAGATCATGGCAGGCAACAACACCAGCTGGAAGGCTGGTGTAGCAAACTACTCTAGAGATGAGCTACATAGTCTCATGAGTATGATACTCAAGAGGCTTCCCATTAGCCCAGATGAATGGGATTCTATTGTGAATGACCACACAAAAATGTATTCCTTCTTCAGAAGCCAGACATCCATCAATACTACCAAGTATCAAACAGTTCAGAGGATGAAGAGCTCAACAGGAAACCCTAACATGCCAGAGTATGTGAAAATGGCACGTAAAGCCCATATCTTGACCGGTCAGAAGCAAATATTGGTACTGCTGTAGATGAGGACTTTGATCTGAAGCAAGGCTTCATTAAAAGTGAGGCTGTGGAGTGTTCTGCGCCCAAAACTGGAGGAGATTCCACTGCTGGAGGAGCACCAGTGGTTGCTGATGTCCTCCTTGACGGAGATTGTGAAGGTGCATCCGTTGTTCTTGCTGGAGGACAATCATCAGCTGAAACATTGCCTGCAGCTGGTGGAGCATCTTCTGTCTTGACACCTTCTCTTGTACGACAGCAATCCACTCCTTCCCACAGAAAGAGAGGATCTTATGATCAGCATAAGAAATCCAGTGTCCCCAATGCCGATGCATTCAATGAATGCATTAAAAGTCAGCAAAAAGAGAGGAATGAAGAGACAAAGAGAACCATGAGATGTGGAAGGAATCTATCAGCACTGCAAAGGAAGTAGCAAAGGAATTTTTGGAGCTGCAGTTACCATGTTCAGTCAGTGGCAACAACACAACAGTTCTTACCATGCTCCTCCTGCTGGTGGTCCTTGACCTCCTTACTACCATTCATACAGTTCCACACCTCTTGGACCACTCCGCAAATGCCAATGCCAATGCTGTGAAGAGAAAGGTTTGCCGACTGCTACCACTGGTGACAATGGTCCCCAGGAATCCTATGGTGAATTGCATCAGGCTGAAGATGTTTAAATTACTAAACTAAACTACAATGAACAAGGAGCTTGTGATGCAGTACATATAGTTCCAATTTAATGAGATAACAGCAGCATAACAGCAGCAGTTAGATTTTTAGCGGGAATAGCAAAAGAGCAGTACAGATAGTACTAAAAGAGCAGTAGGATTAGAGCTAACAAGCAGTAGGATATTGTAGCTCAGTTTTCATGTATAGGTTTTTATGTATCCCAATGCAGGATTAGCAGCCATGGGGGGGGAGGTTGCGGTTTGCAACGGACCTGCTTTGCATTTTGATTGGCATGCATATGTTGTTAATCATAGACTTGTCTTCATGACAGTATAACTGTGCACGTGTATTCATTGTAGCATTACTCTGTATTGGCAGACAAAGGACAAGGTACATGCTAAATTCTAAATGGTTACACAAAAAATGAGTGTAAACAGCTTGCAGCTGGTAGCAGCTACTAGCTTCCCTCTCCCCCTGGAACAGTTCATTTTTTGGATGTCAGTATTGTTGCAAATTATCTGTATGAATAATGAATTAGAAAATTGGGAGGAATCAACCATTGCTGCTGTTTTAACCATGGGGAGTCCTCCTGTATTGTCTTGCTTGTGGTGCTGTATCTCTTGTCTTGCTTGTGGTGTCTTATTGCTTGCTGGGTCAACTGGTGTATTGATGCAACCACTGTATTGACGCAATCACTGAACAAAATAATTGAAATTCCTTCTTTGAAACCATCCACAGCATTCAATTGACAATGGGATTCATCCTTAAAACACCCCATTTCCATACAGGGAAATTCCACTACCAACATAAAAGTATCCTTCTGCTACTAGATCATTCTTTCTGTACAGAACATTGTTGGTGTTTGCTGCAGGGGTCTTCATGAAGGTTGATAGGTTCTGATTGTTGTGTCCTACGGTACTATGCTGGAAGTTGTACAAGTTAATGAGGAGGTCCATGATGATTTTCCTCTGGTGCCCTTCCTCCTCCAAGAACATTTTGTCTTTGATCCTTGGGAACTGTCCCTGGATCATCCTCATCTCCCATTCTGACATCTGTTGTAAGAAGGACGTTGTGTCCCTGTTCAACAAGAGGAGGTTATCCCTGACAGGATCCCTCTGTGAGCTCTTGATGAGGCTATCACAGTATTCTTTGAGTGCAAAGAATGCTCAATCAACCACAACTTTAGCACCAGCATCACACACTTCATGGATCCTCACTATAACTTTATAGATACCATGGTTGGCAGTACTACTATTGTGCCACATTCCTAGGCAATTGTACACTAGTACTATCCCCATTTAACCATCTAGTAGGGAAAAGGCACCAAAGGCACTATTAACAAGAAGAAAGGTGTTAGCTATCCTTGCATGAGTTGTAGAATGGTCTTTGATTAAACCAGTACTGTAACTGTTGAATCACTTGCTTAAGTCCATCAGCAGCAGCCAAAATATGTTGTTCTCCAAGCCTTAGATACTTGTCTCCAATAGCCTTAACATAAACATCCACTTCTTGTTTGGTTGGAACACTGACAATGGCCTCTGGGTGAATGTGAAGAGCAACAAGTATCACTCTCCTTGAAAACTTGAGCCACTTGTACATCATTGTGGATGTCAAGCCAGATGTCATTGCCATTGATCTGGCAACAGATCCTCTGGTCCTGGAGTACCAATAGAGGACAGCAAGCCCAATAGCACAGACTGCATCAACCTCCCTCTTCTTCCCCTCGTTGGGCTTGCCACTGGGGAAACAAGAAACTTCCACTACCTCTTTGTTGGTGTTGACTGTAAACTTGTTGTAAACTGGAGCAAACACATCAACAAGCTCCCTTTAGACCTTGTGGTCTACACTGCAGCAGTTGAGGAGTGCTTGGTCATCCCCTGAGTGGAATAGATATGTGAAGGGGGAATCAGCATATCTCCAGATTGCAAGCCTCAGAGTTCTCCTGTCCCTCCAATGTCTCTCCTCAGGAGACAGTTTTTGCAGATAAGTCTTGTTTTGCAGATAAGTCTTGTTTTGCTCATTGTCAGCATTCAACTGGATGTACCAGTACATCATGATCACCTCCACAACTTCCATTATTGTGGCCTTCTTTGTTATGAGGAAACTGTGGTCTATTTGTGCGTTTAATAGCAACTTGTGCGAGGACCACACATATTTTTGATGCAAAATTATGAAAGCATATATATATAGTGCGTGTGTTCCTTTCACTATGGATAGCAAGGATGGGACATATTTTGGAGGATACTACAAGTATTGAAAATTTCATGTTCATATTTCTTGTAGTACCAAGTGGCGCCGGCGCCTCTTTTTAGTCATTGTTACGTTGGAGTATAGTATTAGTTAAGATTCCAAATTCCAAAAAAAGGCTTGGCATTGTGCCTACTTCCCTCTCTGTTTGTCTGTTGAAATTCAATTCCAGTTATTATGTAATAAATGTGCTAGGTTTATGGCTTTGGCATTAAATAATATCGGGAATCACCCAAACGGATCTGAATTTATGAGAGTGCGCAATTAAAATCGATGTAAAAGGTGACATCGAGGGGATTCGAACCCCCGCCAATTAAGACAACGGCCTTAACGTTGCGCCTTAGACCGCTCGGCCACATTGTCATGGGGACGTAACCCTACACCGAATGAGGGGATCGAACCCTCGACCACACGATTAAGAGTCGTGCGCTCTACCAACTGAGCTAATTCGGCTGAAAAATGCGGACGATATGAGGATCGAACTCATGGCCTTGCGATTAACAGTCGCACGCTCTGCCAACTGAGCTAATCATCCGGGTGGTGTGTGCTAATGGATCCTATTTTTCATTTTTATTCCCAGTCATCTTGTTGTAACTTAATCAAGGGTGAAACTTAGTTTCATTCACGATATTTGCTGCTGGTTGCTATCAATAGTTAACATTGAACTGTCATAGTTACAAGGGGCTTCTTGCACCGCTCGGAGCGACTAGTTGCACTGCAGCCGACTGCACTGGTTCTGGCTCCACTGGAGTTCTTCTAGTTCACGATTTTACATACAATTTAAAAATGTTTTTGTTGGCTGAGTTGCTTTAGTGTACAAATGATCGGGGAAACGCAACCGCACCAAACCCGAAATCCCCCCGGGAAAATCCTCCCTTGCTTCGTTTTGGAACATACCATTCTATTGCTGTTGCACCACCCCAGTTTTATAGTCGGCGCAATTTTGGTGAGGTGGCGGAAGCCCATTGTTGGCAATGGGAACAATTCCCCCGGTGGGGGTGTACTGGAAGTTGCTGTCACCCTTACCCTGGTAGTATCGCATGGTCCAGACATCGTTTGACCACGAGCTCTTCATAGCGCCGACAAAGATGTCCGCGTTGACCGCCAACCAGAAATTCAAAATGGAGGAAAGCATGTCTCCGAAGTAATTGTTGGGCAGGGGAAGGAGGGCATTCTTCTCTCCATCAGGGGACGGGCCGTATCGTTTGTAGAGACCGTGGAGCCTGGTTTCGCTATCGCTGTCGATGCCTTGTGGAGAAAGCAGCCTACGCTGCCGCTCTTCGCTCGCGTAGAAGGCGTGCTCGACCCACCCGTCCCCGCACTCGAACATCGGCAACGAGTCGCGGGTGGATTTCGTGGCCGAGGTTGAAGTAGGGTTTCGCTCTTCCTCCTCTAGGGACGACGTAAAGAGCTCGTTTCCCTCGTCGTCGTAGGAAAGGCTCCGGCGGTTCAGGGTTTCGTAGTTGTACTTGGTAATGTCTGCGACCCCTTTCCATCGATCCCAGTGCTGCATCTCGTCCCGACCGACAGCAACGAACACACCTCCGAGCTTCCGCCGATTTCCCAGTTCTTTCCGGAGGGATGCGGAAATAGGGTTAGAATATGTGGCCGGGATAGAGAAAGAGGGGGTGGCAGCTGCCGACGCCTTTGTGGGTTGCTTTCCCAGTCCCAAAAAGGAATTGAACAACGAGGGGGAACCATCGTCTCGTTCGTTTTCGCTCATTGCCGTCCCATTGAAAGCGGCCCCGATCCCGCTCTCCGAGTTGTAGTCCAGCGCCAGTGTTTCTACTAGGTTCAGTATCGTGGTCAGGTTCCATTCCATATCCTTCCCACATTTGTGCGAGAGCATCTCCGGTTCGACCCGGGCGTGCAGGGCGATGTAGCCAACGCCTCTATTTTTCTCCTCGCCGCTGGTGTCGGCATTGGACTCGCCGCTGCCCAGGTGGTGCACGACACAATGATCGGCCAGATCCCGCCAGGGCTTGGCTGGGATGAGGGCTTCGTTGACGGTGTTGACGAACCGGGTCTCGTACCGGGATTTTTCATCGTCGTGTGGGAAGTGCAGGTTTCTGTTTTGCCGCTTCTGACTCCTGGTCGGCGCCGGTTGGTGCTCCAACGGGGGAGCATCGATTCCAAGGTTCTTAGGGAGCACCCCCGGAGCCCGGCGCTCCATCGCCACATACCAATACCACATTGCGACGTTGATGCCGCCGTACGCATAGGGAAGGGTACAGTTCTCGACGAGGGGGCGGTTGTCGACCTTGTTGCGCTGGATCACCGTGTCCCCTAATAGGTACTCAAGGACCTTGTTTTGGAGGGGGGCCATCATAAAGGCTTCCCGCTCGAAGAGCATCCGGTAAGTAAGGAGCGGCACGAAGGATTTCGAAAAGGTCTTGTTGTATTTCGGATTAACTTCGAGTGCCTCGACCGAGATTATGTTTGGATCCATCTTTGGTCTCCAGCACACTGTGTGGTTGTAGTGGTCGCTCTCGCTTTCGCCGTCGCTATCGCCGCCGCCCTCCACCGTAGATACCAGAAGGGGCAGCGATGGGTTTAGCGTTGAATTCCTGGACGGGTGGTGGTAAGAGTTCCAGTGGTCAACGTCGAACAGTTCGTCGAAGGGAACGGGCCAAAAAGCTACCTTTGGGTTGATGCTCGACAGATGCGACGACGACGATGAGTCTTTGTTGCGTTCGCCATCGACCTTGCTGTCGTAGCGCGAGCTCCAGACGATCGTCGGAAGCAGCATTTTGGTAAGGCCGTCGCCGTCCGCGGTTTTGAGAAAGCCAATGAAGCGCATCACCTGATTCCGGAATCCCCCAGGGAGACCGACCGGATACATTAGGGCAAAGGTTCCGCCACTCCGGGGATTTGCGTCGTAGTCGGCGGCGGCGGTGTTTGTTACGAAGGTGTCATGTTTCGGCAGCAGCTTCTCATTTGGATCTGTGGTGCGCTTGGTGTCTGTGCCGGCGTCTTCTTGTTGTGAAGCCGACGATTCCGTGGCGGGTGACGCTTTCTTGGTTGGCGTAGCCGACGAATCGGACAAAGATCCAAGCCCCGTCTCGCTGTCTGTTTTCTTTTGGCGGATCATCTCTCTTCTCATCAGCTTGCCCTCGGCGTTCCGTGAGACACGCGTGATTATGATGTCTCCGTTTTCGGCCAAGGCAGTCTCTGCATGCACACTTGCCGGTGCCGGTGTCGGCGGCGATCTTTTTCGTTTTTTCTTTTCCTTTTTCCTTTGGGTTTGCTCCCGCGGTTGTTTTTCGCCAAACGGATGCGATTTCTTCGGAACGTTCATGAGCGACTCAAAGTCCTGGTGGTACGCAACCAGGAGGGAACCATGCATTTGTGATATAACCATGGAAAGGAAAAGACTCAGGGCTGACAAGAGAAATATTGCTATTCTTAGCTTTCCCGCGAGGGACGTCGCGTCGTTCTTGCCTGCCTCATTGTTATTGACCATTATACCGGTTTGGAATCAGTTCGAGCGAAAGGCGTGGTAGGTGTTTTTCCGAATTGGGAGGAGAATGGACGGGAATCTGGGTGAAATGAATCTGTCCTGCGGTGTGCTTCGGTGCTCCGTCGCGTCGCTGCCGTCGAGTCGATCGAAGGAGACTTTTGTCGCGTAGGCAAAAGCCGTTGGGGATACTGGTCCACTCTATTCTCGTTTGCAGTATATTGAGGCAGGGTTACAACCCTAAAAGAAGAAAACTAATCGTCGTGAGTAGACTGTGATGATTATGAGATCCCGAATTGCTCTTCTTGCAATCTTTCAGACTCCTATCATACCGTATTTCAAGCGTGATCTGTTAGGTAACGAGTCACGAAAAACATATGACTTGAACGATGTACCGTACGATACCGTACGATACCGTACGGCCGATAGGAGAGATTACGTACTTTACTCGTACATCCCCTCAGTACAGCAAACGACTTTGGGTTTTGAGAAGCAGACACACCGTGTACACTGTGCCATACAGTACTGTACTGTAAATCCCAACAACACTAACTTGTTACGAAACGATAAAAAAAGACGACCCTTCGGCATGCAAGAAACGGAAATGAAGCTGGTGGCAACCGCTTCGTTGCAAAAAGGTCCGATCCGGGAATCGAACCCGGGACCTCCTGCACCCAAAGCAGGAATCATGCCTCTAGACCAATCGGACAACATGTTTTGCTGACTGTTAACGGCAATATTCGAATCATAATCTATCACAATTTTCTTGTAGAAAAACACTTTGCAATTGAAAATTATCACCTCTTAAGATGAATTTATGATGCTATTCTTATCTTTTTTACATTAGAACTTTATTTCTCTGATAAGCCAAAAAAATTGTATTTAAGTTTAAGCTTCTTGTGAACTACTAGTAGTAGTAGAAGAGGCACTGCGTTGGCCATATTACTACTAGTAGTAGCCATTACTACTTGTTGACTTCTCCTGGTGACTACTCCTACTAGTACTAGTAGTACGAAGAAGAATGCTCCTACTACTAGTCAGTCTGGGTGGTGGTACCTCCCTCCATGGAGGTTTGTTGAGCCACAAACAGCTCTAGTATGCTTACTGATGAGGACAGGTCAATTAAGGCCTCCTGAGGCTGACCCCAGGCGCATAGAGGGTGGTGGTTCACGGTTTGGATGGGTGAGAACCATGCCAAGTCTTTCCAAGGGCAGCGCCAAGCCAAAAGGCAAGTCAAACCAAAGTGGAGGAGGAAACAGGTCCCAAGCAGACTGACAAGCCAATGAAGGATAGTTCATGTGCAGTGTACAAGGACACAGGAGGTGGTGAAGTAGTAGTAGTAGTCATAAGAAAAAAGAAAAGCCAACAGAAAACAAAAATATACATCCAAAAAGAAAAAATACGTCCCAACAAACTTGGCCTTGGTTTAGTCAGTCCCCTTTGAAAGCAGGGGTTGTGGATATTATGTGGAGGACAAGCGTTAAAGGTTGTGGTAGTATTAATCAAGAGCAGCTACCTGTGTTGGTTCTTCTTGGTGGAGAAGGGACCATGGTGATGGTGGACAAGTTTATTGATGGTAATGTGAGAAAGATACTGTTTAGATGGGAGAGCATGGGTGAATAGACTGGAATATTTCAACAATCTAGATTGGGGCTGAGAAATCTTCTTCCTTGAGTTGACAGAGTATGTAGCATATTTATACTCCAGGCTTTGTTCTTCAATGGAAAGAAGGTCTATACTACAGCAGCAACAGCAACAAGAACAACAGCAGCAACAGCAGCAACAACAGGGTTTGAATCACCAGTCAAACGGAGGACATCAGACAAAGTGACACAAAGGTATCAGACGCAAAGCTTCCAGGTTGTGGTTGCAGCAAAATGTGGGGGAGTCAAACGGAGGACAAAGACAAAGTGTGACGCAAAGGTCTGGTGTTTGAATCAAATGGATGAACACAAAACTTCCAGGTCTGGGGTTTGAATTGAACAGAAGAAGCGGAAGCATGACAGTGATGCACAAAGCTACCAGTATGAGTCAAACGGAGGACAACAGACAGTGACACAAAGAACAACAGCAACAGCAACAGCAACAGCTTCTGCTGTTGTTTAAATTGAATGAACTGTGCAATAACCAAACAATCAATAGTGTGATTAGTGACATGATGCCAACCATTCCATTCACAAAACAAATGAACAGTTTTTTGTCCTATTGCTTGATGGTGCCCACTTCCTCCTGTTCTTCTTTGTTTGATGATTGCCATCAAATTTCTCAAGTTGATGCTGGTATTAATCAATTGATTGCTGGTATTAACTGTACTTCTACTTGTACTACTAGTGCTTTTAACATCAGTGCCAAGAATTCAATTGATCTTCAGAAGCTCTTAAAAAAAGGTGACAAGAAAGAAAGTTGGGTATAATTCTTTATAGTTGTTATATTTGATTCCATTGTATTTTTTTGGTTTCTACTAACAACTTTACAATAATACTGTTACTAGCTGTACAAAGATTCTATTTAATACTAGTAGTGTCAGTAGTAGTACAACTGTTACAAAATCAGAAATTTCACCAAAGTTCTCCTAGTAAATAGTGGCTGCAAAGAAGAATCCAGTAGCTTAGTACCTAGCAGGAAGCTTCAGGAAGAATTGTGGGGGAAGTAGTACTATTGATAAGGTGTCTGTTGATCTTGTAACAGTACACAAAAAGCTTGTTGTCTCCATATCAACAAATGAGGATGATGCAGATGAACATGGGGAATTTAAAAAAAATGTGATGTTAGATCATGTGGTGGCAGCAAGAATGAGTGGATATGAAGATGTGACCATTAACTTGTATTAATAGTACAAATCAGTTGTGAATCTCTGTGTACAGCCAGAAAGTTGAAGGGACGTTGAGGAACCACCAATACAACAAGAGTGCTATCAGAAAAAGATTGCTGGCAATGATGTTGCACCAGTTGGGAGAAAAGATCTTAGGAGGAGATTTGAAGAGGAATTATTTACTACATTGATCCCATATGCCACTGTAGGATCTTCCTGGACCCAAAAAGGATGATGATTGCACAGAGATCTAATGGAACTGTGTTGTTACTAAAACAATTGCAAAGTAGCACAAAACATTTAAGTTACAGAATGGAATGCTATTTTTAGTCTAGTCTGTATAATTGTGMACTACGAATTCTTCTACTGCAGAATATTGCCTAGCATCTTCAGATTCTAGTTCATAATTTTCACAACAATGAATTTAGGTAAGAAACAGAGAAAGGCCACCAAGCAATGACAAATGTTTGACTCTTCTTGGAAGGAATAGTCAAAATATTGACTGTTGGTACCTCCATATTCTAGTAGAAAAATTAGTCAAAATGAATCAAGATGCATAACAGCAACGTAAATGATGAAGATCTAGTTTATAATACTAGGAATAGGCAGAAAGTGATCTAAGTGCAAGTTCAATTGGAAACTCGGCAATATCTCTCAAGAATATACCATTTTTCATGTTGAAACATTTATTTCATCATATCCACCCCTAGATTTTGATGTTTGACATGCTGGAATATATAAAATTTTATGGTACATCATACTACTTTGCACAGCAACCATTGATTAGATGGAATTAATTTACAGAAGTAAGTGTAATAAATACATACAACATGGATTTACCACATATGTGTTTAGTTATTGACTGTCTACATCAATATATTGTTAACCCCGAGAGCAACTAATGGAAGCATGATGATCCTTCTCCTCCCCAGAAATGGTGCTGGTTCTGGTTTTCCTGCTGCCCCTTTGGTAGTAGGTGTTCTTTATGACGTGACAAAATATTATTAGGTTTTTAATTCTACATTTGTTGATCATCAAAGGTGTCATTGAGCAAATTCTAAATATTCACCAAGGAGAGTCATCCTCTTGATCTTGAGTTCTATTTAGTAGTAGTACTAGTAGTCTACTTGTTGATGACTCTGCTAGTGCATACAAAGAAAATGTTGCTTGTTTCATGCCAGAGATGCTTGTCTGTCCTCTTCTAAACAGAACAAGGAAAAGGAACACAGAAAATCCTATTGAGTCAAAATCAGAAGTATTGGTTTGGCACAGGAAATATGGTATGATTGCTGGAAGTGAGATCTAGTATGTGTTGTACTGTACCACTAGAAGCAGAGAAAAATGGTGGTCACTTTATTGACCCCATTTTCACAAAAGCACTCCTGTTTCTACTCATAAAATATGATCATAATATGGAGAGGTCCAAAAGTAGATCTCTGATTCACCTCCTTCTTGTTCTTCTGTTCCATCATGATTTAGGTGCTTATGATTTTGCAAATAAAATTCTCCAGCAACTTTTTAACAGGGTTGACTCTGAATTTATTGGTTCTAGTACTTTTCTGTTTTCACAAGTGGTATTTGGTAGCAGTGGTATGTTTTGGTACTTCTTACTATTGTTGTATGTGGTATTATTTTTGATTTTTGTTGTATTTGCCTTAGTACTTCTCCAGGAATAAAAGTGTTGGACATAACATGGGAACAGCATCATATTCTTATTTGCGAGCAACCAGGGAGGAACCTCAGTAACATAATTCAAATAGTAGTAAGAGGCAAAAAACCTGGTTTTGACAGAGCTGTGGGCCTCACACTGGTGTGTTTAGAAGCAGAAGTACTGGTAATGTTGGTATTTTCACTGTGTTTGCTTTTACTATTTCTCCAAAGATAAAAATTTTGCCTGTTGTACTAGTCTGATATGGTCTTGTTGTCTGTTATTGATTTCCAGGGACAAGTGTAAAATACAATTGTTAGTGTGGGCCTCACATCACTTTTTTGATCACTGATTTGCTACCAACAATATTTGTACCTTTGCTACTTTTGAACTGTGCTTTCTGTAGGGAAAAAGTGTTAGACTTCACAGTCCTGTAAGGTGTTGGACTTCATCAATCAACACATGGTTAGTATCCATTGGTGAACTAAGACAAGAATAGTATATCTAATCATCATAGCAAATGACTCACTTGATAGAGTCATGGGTGTCACATTGTGTAATTTAGCAGAATTGTTACCAGTAATTTTGGTATTTTCACTGTATTTGTACTATTTCTCCATAAATAAAGGTTTTTGACTTGTTCACCAAACAGTACTATTACAGGGATGTCTAATGGTTATCAAAGACAAGAATACCTTGTTACTCTCATAGCAAAGGGCCCATTTGCGTTGACTTGTAGGATTCAAAACACTGTGATTTTGCTCCTTCTTCTGTTTCTGGTGGTAGCCTTTGGTTGCCCCTCCACAAACACTCTTCAGAGGGAGGCAGCGCCCCTTAGAGCAGCTACTAGTAGGAGCATTCTTCTCCCCAGAAGTTATGATTCTGGCCATATAGTGCCTCTTCTAGACTAGTACCTACTAGCTCACAAGGTTAAATAGTATAAAAATAAGGATTGTTTGCTCTTTGCTGGTGGTAGATGCACATAGACAAAAAAATATCCATTGCTTTTTGCATGGTGCTTACTAAATAGTATTACATTGTGTTTGTTGGAAAACTTACAAGAACAATTGTAGTGGTGATTCAAGCACTACAACAAACAATGGTGTTACGGGTGGCATTGTTGTATTGTTACCAAATGGTTCTACATCATATTGGAACAATAGTTCATTCATTGGCAACCACCAGCAATCAAGAGGACTCAGCAGACTAACTCTCAATTTACAATTTTTGTTTGCCCTGTGTACCTATTTTTTGATAGAATATGTTCATATTTTTTATACTTTCAAGACAAAAAGCACTCATATTTAATGTAGGGTAGATAGTATGAATACAAAAGTAAAGAATATTGTAGTACTTTTCTTTGGTCAGCCTTTGAAGCATATTAGTAACATTAATGACAGTGCTTGGACATCAGTAGTAGAAACATCTGTAAGGTTACTATGTCTAACATTATGGTAATGCAATGCCAAAGTAATGCTAAAGCTTGATCAAAACCAAAACATTATGTAGCCCAAACATAGTATTGCATTTTACTACCACTAGTACTAGTAGAAAACAATCAAAAAGATGCCGCTGAAACAAAAAAAAAGTGTAAAATATTGTACCAATGATGCACTACACTCTGTCGAGCTCTGGTGAGGAACTGTACACAATCCTATCTGGGTCTCGAACTGTTTATGTAGTACTTGTAGTACTGGTAGTGTTGCTAGTGCTACAACAAGTGGTATGATAGCCACCGAAAACGATTGCTGAACCCGGCACCTACCGCATGCAACATTTCTTGTGACCTGATCATGCCAACACAATACTGATATTTGATTAGATTCTAGTAATTATTAAATGAAATATAAATTGCAATGGCGGTTGGTTTTCATCCAGTTCTAGTGATTGTGCTGGTCGCATTAGGTTTGCAGGTAGGTGCATCTTTCTCGTTACATGCGTTGGGGACAGTGAAGCGACGACCGCCGAGTTCAATAAAATTGTTTCGTGTATTGTACAAGAAAAAGTCATCGTGTTCGGAAAGCGAAAGTCTGAGTATTGAAGTGTATTGATCTGATGTACAAGCTGGGAACAGTACGCTTCGTGCTCGTCTAACGAAAGCTATCGAGACTTGCTACTGTATTTCTTGCTCCTTGCGGGCAGCTCGAAGCTGTGCAGAGAATCGATCGAGAGGCATCAAAGGACGGCACCGTTCGCCACTTTCTATCGCTCGTACCGATGCTGTTTCTGAGTTTTATTTTCTTGGTATGAATTGCGTGGATAGGTGGTCGGTTTCGTTCCACTATCGACCGGTAACTCGTGGTTTGTTATGGATCGTTGTTGTGTATCGTGAAGTTCTAAGCGATCTTTGTCTTTTGGGAGCCGTAGAAGAAAGATCCGAAAGTGCACCCGTTGTGACAGTCACCGCCATAGTCACATCCGAAGTCGTATGGTTTCGATGCATTTCCTCCCCGGACTAATTTGACGACAAAATAGAGTGCAGATAGGGCCGCAATAACGGGAGCTACGACGGTAGTGTCGTCCTCGGTGTGATTGGGTGGTATTAAACGATGAGTATGGTTGTTGTTGAGGTATTGGTTCCTTCTCCTGCCCGAGCCGAGGCCTGTCCGCTTGAGGGCGTCCGTCCGGATCGCCTCGAGCCACTCCACGTCTCCGCTCAGCGAAAAGTGCTCCGTCGTGTTCATATAGACAAATTCACCGGCCTTGATGTCCCGGAGCGCCACGCAATCGATGTCGATGTTGACCTGCTCGGGGAGCTCCGCCTCCTGGATGAAGGTCCCCTCGTCCAGCGTGACGTCGACGTAAATGTCGTTGTCGTGAGATGAGGGGTGCGTCCATTCCAAAACTGCACACCTCAGATTGTGGGGGACCTCCCTCAAAAAGTCGGTGTAGCCCTCCTCGCTGTGAAAGGTATGGTAGTGGATGGGTTTCCAGAGCTCGTAGCCCTTGGGAATATCGCGCGACACAAAAACCTGCCTTCTCTGTGTTTGAGGGTTGATTTTTGTACCAAAGGGAACCTGCATGCCCGTGTGCGGGGTTCCCGTGGGAGTTCCGACCGCCTCTTGCAGCAATGCCCAGGCAGCTGAATCGAGATTTGTGGTCGAGGCGGCATGGTTCGGTTTCGGGCACCCCACGACGATTTTTGCGTGCGTTTGACGAGAATCATCGTTGCTGGTTTGGAAGAAGGCCCACATGGTTCGGAACGAAGTTTCACAATGCTTCACCGTTGAGTTGGTTTGTCAGGGATTATGTGGAGGGATCGATCAATGGGGCGTTTGATGTTTCGCCTTGATGCAGGGAACGAGAAGGATCTATCGAACGAACCAATCCTCAAAAACGAGAATCGCAATAAAGGATCCACAGCTATTTGTTTCGATTTGCGATAATGTGTTTGTATGGGGCGGAGAGCTGTTGGTGCTTCCTCTTCTCTTCTCTTGTGCGGGACGTATGGATGTAGCAATGGTGTGAATTGACGATCGACTTCGAGATTGATTCCGCTCGTTCGGATTTGAATGTTTTTCTGGTTGAATTTATGAACGCTTCGCAGTACATTACGGTACGTACCGTAGGTGGGACTGTGACTGGAAAGAAAAAAAAACAGATCGTTACCGTAGTTCGTGCCGTACGTACCGTTCTTCGTGCATACCATAGTACGGGACCGTTCCGAAGAGTTTCGTGTGAATCGAATGGCAACGGCTATTCAAATCTTTTCTTTTCAAGACTCAGTCGGATTAACAATATTTTTAAAAGATGATAGTAAATACCCGTATTGATTACGTACGCATGCAAGACGATCACAGGGTTTGTTTGGTCGCACACCGTTATTTTTACTTCTTTTCCTATTATTTTCGATTGTAATATGTACGTACGTACTACCCGTACTATTAACTGGTACGATTACCGTATCGTACGGTACTTCATTAGTGTACATTTCTTATTTGTGACACCGCACAAACGAACAGGACCGACGTCCGTTCAAGAGGTGTTATCGCTATCGCACAATCCGAGTTTCGTACAGTTCTCTACCGGTACGTACCGGCAGGATGGGTGAAGTACGAGTACGTACCGTACGTACCGGTAAGCAGGGGTCACTTGTACTTATGATGTACTACGAGTACTCGTACTACTCGTTCCGGTACTACTCTTAGGCTATGTACCGTACCGTATCGTACATACAGTAAAGCGAAGGAAGAAGGAAGTCGTACTCGTACTCGTACAAGTACTCAACAAAGATACGGTATTGTACGATACGATAGATGACTTATGATTGGCCTCCTTTATTTTTTGAACGAGATCTTTTCACTCGAGAAATTACAGTATTTTTTCTTCTTCGTTCGCCTACACGAACCCTACCGTATTGGAATGTTGTAGAAGGCCAAAAAAGATCTCTGTCGAAATCGAAACCATTAGAAAAATACGATCGGCGAGTTATTCTTTCACGTTGCCATACCGTAAGGAAATGTACGATACAGGGTCGGGACACTTCTTCGCTCGCTTCACGATCTGAGGTCGTTCTTGAAGTACGAATACGAGTACGAGTACTGGTATTTGGTATTTTGTTACCGTACTTCATTACAATAATTATAACTTTACTACGATTACTGTTTCGTCCTAACGCAGAACAATTGACTGCTCAACACCACAAAATTGAATAGCACGTTCAACAAACACAAGCTGAAGAACCAATTTTCACATACATACTCACACGTTCGCATCATGTCTGTCAAGGTCTACTACTTCAACGCCACGGGTCGTGCCAACCAGATCCGCCTGGCCCTGGCCGCCGGTGGAATTGCCTTCACGGACGACTTCGCCAGCTTCCCCCCCTCGGACGAGAACAAGGCCAAGTGGAAAGCCCTGACCAACGGCAACTCGACCTTTTCGGTTCCCATTATGACGATCGATGAGGGAACCGACTCCCAGAAGGTCTACATTCAGTCCTCGGCGGTCCTCCGCAAGGCGGCCCGCATGGGGGGCCTGGAACTGACCCTCGACGACGCCGACGACGCGGCCTACCTCCAAGACAAGCTCATCGCCGACGCCGACGACCTCCGGACCGCCTCCTACCGCGCCTTTAAAATGTTTGGCGCGTCGGATGGCGCCGTCCAGAAGTTTGTCAAGGAGGTATTGCCGAAGCACGTGGACAATCTCGAGCGGCAGTTTGTGGCCGCCGGTGGCGATTATTTTGGGGGGTCTTCTACCCTCAGCATCGCCGACGTTGCGCTCTACGACGCGATTGTCTTTTTTGGCACCCGGCTCATCGACGGCGCCGAGGGCGTGGACAACCCGTGCGGGCCCGCTCTGACCAAGTGGATCGAGCGCGTCGAGTCCAACGAGAAGATTGCCGCCTACCTCGCCGGCGAGCAGTTCAAGGCCGTGGCGATGGTTTTTGACAAATCGGCCCTTGGCTTTTAAATCAATCCAATAACCACTAGCAAGCAACCATGGGCATTGGTGTTTGCTCTTTGTGACCGGATGCTGTATGGGATTTTTCGGATTATATCAGGAGTATGCAAAACAAAGAACGGTAGTAACAGTCACTATTTCATTTGCACCCCCGGCAAAACTAGGAAGGAAGGAACGAATGAACCCGTGATCTTTGTCAGCGGTATTCATAGAGGATTCCACACCATAAAATTTTATAATGAATAGCCGGCCATAAGATTTGGACGGCCTCGATGGGCGAGTTTTATCGTTTTGTTTCTAAAAGAAGAATTTTGCAAAGCACGTAGAGTTAGTTGTCTTCTAGTATCTTCTAGTACACCTTGAACATCAGCGATAACAAAGGATAACAATAGCAAATGATTGCTTATTATCACCTACCCGTACACAATCAGTTTTATTCAATATCTAGACCCCAATTTCCAGAACCTCTCCTTTCCTAAATTTGCTTTATTTCTATGCTTGTAGGTAGATTTGCTCCGATCGAAGCGAATCGCATCGACCGGATCAATCGATCGATCATTCCTTTCGTAACCATATCATTGTGTTTCGTTTCGTTTCGTTTCGTTTCGTTTCGTCTCGTCTTGTCTCGTCTCGTTGCGCGAACCGACCAACCGACCGGCCGAAAGAGGTTCGATGCTGCATCGATAAGCTTCTCAAGCTATCCGGCATCGACATGGTTTCCGATGCAGTTCAAAACCACAGGACAGGCTGTACCACTGCGTTAACGAAAGTAGATGTGTTTTTTCTTTCGCAGTGTCTTTGCTTTGCTACACCCGGCAAGTTTTGTTTGGAACCGATCGACTTACCGACCGACCGTCCTATTCGCCAGCCAATCATCGCTGTAACACCATCATCACCTCCAAGAAAACTACAATACACCGTATGACATACTAATGTCAGAAAATCTTTTACGACATCTTCAAATACAGCAGACCATCCTCATTAATCAGTTGCTTTCTTGGAATTTTTCTTGGACAAAACATCAAGTGATTGATTGCTGAGTGATCGCATGATTCGCAGAGGTTATTGATTGATTGATAAACATTACTGTATGCACTTGAAGTATTCAAGAATTGATTTCAAAATAATATTTTGAATTTTGATGGATTCGTACTGCATCGTACGCTACGATACAAGTTTCATCCTACTCGTAACGTAGCAGGAGATTGTTGATCCTGCGAAATAAAGGGTTGGTCATGCTTGAATCACAGATCTTCGTACCGTAATGCCAACATCGGCTCTTCGAAGAATTAATTAGATTTTTGACAATCTTTGCCCAGTCGTACCGTGTTATGTACACGTGGACAACTAACGTGCAATGGTCGCGCAAGTGTTGAGCTGCTAGTTATACGCTAGCGAACCCTTTCCCTGTTGGATTATTGGGAGTCGAAAAAAGGGCACATGGCAATGACCGTTTAGTGTAACATACTTAGTCGAAATAACCGATAAAGACGGTATGCTACGGTTTGACATCCACTAATTAATCTAAATGATTTCTCTATTCGTTGCATTCCTAACGCCTCCAAATTCTCGCGGGTATCGACCTACAATACGAGACATCGTGGCAAATGAAAATTTGTCCAACGCACCGAACGCACGATAGGATCATACACATTATATTGAGAAACGAATACCACATTGGAAGTTGAAAAATAGGTACTTACGCAAAATAGAATTTCGTAGCGGCGCGGGACGAGCCATTTGTGTGAGAATTACATGCGAGGACCTCGGTCTCGTGCTCAGCGGCACCGCCGTGGCTTCCTGGAAGAGGGCCATCAAAATCTCATACATACAGCATGCTGAGACATTTGGTTGGGTTCTGTCTAAAGCTTCATCGTCAATACGTCTAACAGCAGTGTGTATTGCATCGAGATCGACGAGAGATAGAAGAAATAGAGTCTGTAGCTCAAGCAACAACAACAAAAAGTGAAAGCAAGGGGATAGACGCAAGCAATCGGTATGTAGTTGGAATTGGAGCGATTGTAAATTAGGTTTCCTAAAACAGAAAAATCTCGCCTTCCTCGGGCCAACGCACCTCTCGCGAGACCGACTATAGAACAAAGATGGGTGAATCGAGAAACCATATCGGTTGACCGATAGATTAAGAGCAAAAGGAAAGCAGGAATGATCTCCGAAACCCAATCTAGAACAAATAATGCCTACAACTCCAGGAAGGACTGTTTGTATCTTTTGGTACCGATCATTTTCTACTTTTTATACCTCCAGCGAACCTCTCAATAGGAAATCTCCGTAAAAGTAGAATATGCGCTTGATGGCACAGTATCCGAAAGCGAGGAAGGCGAGATTCCTTGCGCAAAAAATGGACCTTGAGTTTCGCTTGGTTTCCAAAAGATATCTTCCAACTTCGATATCTACAAGAGTTTTGAAGCTTGCCTTTTCTCTTCTAATTTCTTTCTTTCTTCCCTGTTTATGTTTTCCACGTAGACCTTCTTCACAAATCACTATGGCGACAGCGGTAGCCCAGTCCACTGTAAAAAATGGGGAACAGGCACAAAACGAGACGATAAATGGGAAGCCTGGTTCACCGGAAGAGAAAAAGGAAGATGATAAACGATCAGCTCCTTCGGCTTCCACTCCGAAGAAAGCTTCCATGCCTGAAGGTTCGGTGCTACCAGTAAACATGCCAGCTAGTATGATGACGCCCAACAACCGACCGCCCTCGCGAAGTTCCCTATCTGTCCAATCGGCTGGATCTACTGGAGGACGAACCACCACATCCGTTTCCCGAAGGGGTGGAAGAACTCGCAGTCGATCTCCCACTGGACACATTCATTCCTACAATGCAAGGCCGCCTTCCACGACGCCTTCTGTACCTTCGGAAGTTGTCCCCCAATCTCCAAGAAATCCGTCAGCAGCTGCGGCAGCCGCCGCCGCCGCTGCGAAATCTTTTCGAAATCCAGGTGCATCCAGTGGATCACATCCCTCCATGCATTATCAGCAACAAAACCCTTATGGTGGACCTTCAAGCATGAGGGGACTACCACCTCCAGGATCAGATCCTTATGGAAGGCAGCCTGGGGGAAGACAAGACCCTTACTCTCGGTATCCACCTAGTCAGCAACCCCCGCAGCGACCTCCTTCTTCTGCTTCGTCGAGCTATCCCGGAGGGCCACCACCAGGTGGACAGTCGCAGCAGCGACCACCTTCTTCAATGTCTTCTAGTTATCGGGGTGGACCACCTCCGGGATATTATGATCCACACAACGGAAGCCGGAATCCGTCGTCTTCTCATCACTACTACCAAAACGGAAGGGGAGGTCCTCCCCCACCAGGAAGAGGCTACGATTCACAGCCACCTTCCATGGGATCGGATGGGAGACCACACTCTAGAAATAGCGATTCGCAATCTCAACAACAGTATGGATACAATCCCTACCATCGAAATGCACCATCTCGAGGGGGACATCCTCCGCATGGTAGCGGAAGAGAATACGGGGGAAGTAGCAATAACAGTAGTAGATATCAATCAGGCACCAGTGGTCCAGGGGGTGGACCACCCAGCAATGGGCCTATTGAAAGTGGGGAATACAATCGACAGCACCCTGGGAGCAGTGGCAATCGCCATTTACCTCCTCATTACCACAGTAGTGGTGGACCACCTCCTCCAGGGCATTCTTCGAGGAGTGGCAGAACACCCTATCCCGGAAATAACCATGGTCATCACCCATCTTATCGCAATGGTGATCCAAATTATCGAGGTGGTCCACCTCCGCATTACCCACCACCATCTTCCCGGGGAGGGCCTCCTCCTGGTCACCCTGATTACCACCACTATCACTCCCAATATCAACAACAAACACCAAAAGGGCAAGGAGACAGTACAAAATCTACAAGGACAGTGATTGGTACCGCCACACCACTTCATTTGAACAAGGGAGGGCAAGGGCCTATGCCTCAGGTTCCCCCAAAACACTCGTCTGCCGCTCAAAACAATAGCATCAAAGCACCCAACAGCAATTCACACCATAAAAATATCAATAGCAACAGCCACGATTCAAGGAGTGGGTCGGCCGCCTCAGTTTTTAGGGGGCGACCGGGGCCTCCTTCCAGCCAGCCAAATGCAAGCAATGGTGCTTCTTCAAGTAACAATCCAAAGAGCATTTTGGATGCTCTGGAAACTCCGTCGAATTCGTTCGAAGAGAAAAAGTGCAGCAGGAGTGATGGAAAAGAACAAGAGCTTGCACAAGGTGTTTCCAAGATACAGGAACAATTGAGCCCGGACGATCCACCCAAGATTCGTAACAATAATGCCTCAAATGGCAACGGCATGAACTTTGATCCCCAGCCAAGTCCCAAAAGCCATACAGGTGGTGCCATGTCTCCACCTCAACTGACCAATTCTCTAGACATGGCACCTTCCTTTTCTCTTTTCAACCAATCGTTTGACAGTTTGGGTGACACCGCCCAGTTCTTCAATGTTGGCGGTGCACTCGATTCGACTATGTTGAATTCCTCCACCAGCTTCGAGCTCAAGCCTTCTGGGAGCCGATCCCCTATCCAAACTGCGGGATCATCTTCGGACAACTACTTGCAGCTTTCTGCCTCGAATGGAACCTTCAAGCTGAATGCCAGCATGTCTGGTGCCCTTTTTGGCATGTCCCCTTCCAATTCTTTCGGGAATGGCCCGACATCATCGTTCTCAGCGAATCCACCCAAGATGACGCAGGTTCTGGGTGGTAATAATGATCACGGCCAGTCCAGTCCCTCGCAGGTTTTGGATATGTACCAACAATCCAAATCTGGAAATGGAGGCGAAGAGGTTGACCTCCGACTTTCAGCAAGCATTGGGTCACCGATGATTGGACAAAGTGGAAGCTATTCCTCCAGCCTGCCATTTGCCACGGGAGTCGAAACTGGACCACAGCAGCCATCGTTGGTGGGTCGAAGTAGCGACAGGCGCAGCCACCTTTCCCCGCGACCCCAGCGCAGCCATGCCTTTCAGTCTCCTTCTTCTTCCTCGCAACACCATCACCAAGGCTACCGACCACAGAGGCCTTCATCTTATGGACCACCGAACAAGGATGGGACTCCTCGATTTTACAACTTTTTGCGGAAGAACAAGGATGCTTTTGTGGACATGACATTTTTGATGCCCAAACTCAAGCCATTTGTTATGGAAGCCAAAGCCACTATGGGAGGTAATATCAAGGAGCTATCGAACGAGAACACACCAAAACGGGGACAGTCTCGCAGCAGCAGCCGATACGACCGAGAACCAACCCCGGCCGAGTCCCAGATTGCACGCCGCCGAATCGTTTCCGCTGTTTGTGCGTTCGGAGGAAGCTTCACCGGAAGCCGTGTCAGTTATCCAGCTGCTTCACCCGCTACTAGTGGTAACGTAGCTGACAAAACCAAGAGCAGCAGCAACAGTTCCAACGCACAATCTATCTTCCGCGAGAAGAGCGGGGAGCCGAAAACGGTGACTCCCAACAGCTCTTCGAGTTCTTCAGCCGCTGCGGAGAGCGCCGTTGGCAGGGCATCCCGCGAACAATCTAGATACGATGGGGCACTGCCCACTCGATATTACGAAAGCGACAATCGTTTGTCCTGGGAGTTCGAAGAGAACCCGCCGATTGGACCGGACAAGGTTGACCCTGGAAGTGTGATGTACTGCAGGCTCACAAGCAACCAGGATGACGATGATGGAGAGGAAGGAACACCCAAGAAGCGTCGAACCGAAGGGGAGCGAGATGCTGCCGATGGCAGCGACGACGAAGACGGCACGGAGGACCCTAGCGGAGACTCTTCCAAGAAGGGGAAGGGTGGCAAGGGAGACTCACAGAAGATGCGCTACCGATGCAAACTCTGCGGTCAACCCAAGACAAACCACGTGTGCCCGTATCAACAGTCACTGGTACGCAACATAGGAGTCATGGTGCATCCGGCCGTGAATGCTTTTGCTGCCGCCGAACCCGGCAAGCTAGCCCCCGCTCTCAGCGAAATGAACAACCTAGCTATTTCTGCTGCGCGGGTGCAAGCCGAAAACGGCACCCTGGGTGGTCACTCCGATACCTCTCCCTCGCGGCCGACGCCAGACCGGTCTTCGTCAAGGGGAAGCAACAGCCAGATCGATGCAGACGGTGTCTCCTCCGCGGCCCAGGTCACGCCGGAAAACCTCCGAAGCGGGGCATCCTCCCGCGGCAACGGCGATCTCGGCACGCCGCAGCGCAGCCGTGCCGGAACCCCGGGATCGTCTTCTTCTCACCACCGCCGCGGGGGACACACCCCGGCCTCCTCCCGGAAAAAGCGATCGCACGCGAAAATGAACGGTAGCGCGGGCGACCAGACCGATCTTCTTTTCGTGGAAGAAATGGAGCTCAAGACGTCGCAGTTCCGTACGATAACGCCGTCGAAGGTCGTTTCCGAAAACCCCGACGCGTTCACGTACCCGGCCCTGCCTCTTCCGTACGCGCAACGGAAACGCCTCAGCGACAATCTGTTTAGCCTCAGCAAGGAGATTCCGCAGCTCACCGACGAATGCGCATCGGTACTGCGCGAGGCCCGGGAACGCGACCTCTGGGATCTGGCGGTAGCAGAACTGATGACACAGGTGGTAGTGGTCGTGCATTGCAACGATGGGGATTACTGCTTTGAGGGATTGCGCCGATACCTCCTTACACTTGGTTTTACGTGTTAATTGGATGCACAGAACCTTTTTCAAAACAAACTAGAACTTTATACTTGAACTAAACTAGAGAAATATATAACTCAACCACAGTTGAAATTATCAATTATCAAAGTAGTTCAGAGTCCGAACCGATTCGATTGCATTCAGGAAGAGTTGAATTCCCAACTCATACGAATCTTATCACAGACTGAAATGCTACGATGCTCCATTACAATACTCAGATTCGTATCACAACTCTGTATTCGTAGTCTTTACAATCAATGTGTTCATATTGTACAAATCATGGTAGAGATTATAATTCAAAAAAGTTTCAATAATCTTAACAAAACGAGATTCCGATATGATGTAGGTGGTTAGCATACTTGCCTTTCACGCAGGATACCAGGGTTCGAGTCCCTGTATCGGAATTCCCTTTTAAGATTTCCTTTTTTCGAAGAAAGTACGTACTACTTACTTACTTCATCGAACTTTTTTGCTCTGTAGCGCGTTGCAATTTTATGTATTTGAGTCCGGCCGCATCATTGTGATGACGACTCCGAGTACTGGCAAGCCCACGTACTAGATGACATCGTCACCGATGGGGTTCTAAATTCAAAAATATGTCGACTTTGCCGGTGGCAACATTTTCTCAAAATGAGTTAAAAAAAAGTAAAACTGAGCGGGAGGAACGCACAAATGCGATTTAGCCTCACACAACTAAGCGGGTGGCAATAATAGTCAACACGAGTTCCCTATAAAATGATCGGAGTGACGTGATCCCAAAGCAGCAAAAGTTCTCTTACGGCGATTCGAACGCCGGATGCTTGATTCAAAGTCAAGAGTGATAACCACTTCACTATAAGAGACAACACCGAATGAGGGGATCGAACCCTCGACCACACGATTAAGAGTCGTGCGCTCTGCCAACTGAGCTAATTCGGCGAGAGGGAACCCGGACGATATGAGGATCGAACTCATGGCCTTGCGATTAACAGTCGCACGCTCTACCAACTGAGCTAATCATCCTGTGATTTCCGCTGCAMGTAAGCTATTTTTTTTTGGCTACAATTTCTTGTGCCCGCGAGATCAATAGTCTATGACTTGAAACGTGCCTTTTGGTTGTCACGAACACCGAGTGTTCACTGACGGATGGGCTACTCCTCCTTGGTTAGCTACGAGGAGCAAGTCATGGAGGGACGGCCACGGCTAGTTCCGGAGGCGAAAAGGTAGTGTCGGTTCGCGGTAGGGTCGTGAATGGGAACTGGATGCCGCGCCCGGTGCCCAACAGTTCTCACGAGGACATCGGTGGTGAGCACAGAGAACCGCGCTGCCGAGAATGCCTTCGTTCGTTCCGGATGCCATTGCGGTCCGAAGAAATGCGCGAGACTTACTTGCTTTGTGCGGTCTGCGGTGGTGTCGATCGACCGATGCGGAACGGAGATGTACCGTGGATGCGGACTGGTTCGTTTCTCTGACACTGAGTCGCGTCGGGAGAAGATCTCAATTTTCAATTTTTGGCATCGGGTGCGCAATCCGGCAAGGATGCTTCAACACCATCACCGAAAGATCTTGTTCTCTCCTCTCGGCCCATTTGCCGTGTGCCCTGCCTGCGTACCGATTGCGTATGGTACTTACGTACTTACGAAATGGTACTCGTACTTACTCATAGTATTATAACTTTTCTACTGTACTTTAATCAATACTTCTACTTCGTAACACTTCCGAGAACCTATGCTCATAAGATACGTAGCGTACCTATGGACACTCCTGCCATACCTTTTGTTGAGTCACGAAGTCTCGGTTTCGGTCCTGGCGGGCGTCTCCACGACAACGAGAACGACTATGGTACGTACGCTACGGTACCATTACCGGCGCGGCGTGGCAGCCATTCATTGAAATTCACGGTTGAAAAAGCAAACAAGACGAAATGAATGTCCTGCGAAGTCGCGTGAACTTCTTTCGAAGCGCCTGTACCTGTACATACGTAGGGTATTCGTACTCATACGGCAACAGCATTCCGTTACCCTACCGGTAGGTGTTGTTGCTGCACCGAATGCTATTCCCACGGTATTGTTCTTTGCTTTCTCGCTTTCCCAACTACACCTACTAGCAGAAACCGAACAAAACCTAGCGAGCAATTCAATCGAAGGACGGACCAAACAACAACAACAACAACAAGAACAAGAACAAGAACAAGAACAACAGCAACCACCATGACGATCGTCCAGACCGAAGACACCCGCAATTCCGAGTGGCGCAAGTCCAACGTCGGGAGCCGGATGCTCGAGAAGATGGGCTGGACCGAGGGCAAGGGGATCGGGAAGCGAAACGTGAACACGACGGCGCTCCGGGCCGTCAAGCGACAGGAGGGCCTGGGGATCGGTGCGAAGCGGCAGACCGAGGGCGGGCCCTCCGAGTCGACGGGGACCTTTGCGGCCGTCCTGGCGAACCTGAAGGCGCACCACGGCACCGGCGACCAGGGCTCGTCGTCGAAGAAGAAAAAGTCGAAGAAGGAGAAAAAGGAGGCCAAGAAAAAGGCCAAAAAGGCCAAGAACGCGCTGAGCCTGCCGCAGAACAAGGTCCTGGCCGGGCACGCACGAAAAATGAGGGCCGCCAAGTTTGGGGCCAAGAGCGCCGAGGACCTGGCATGCATATTTGGCAACACGGAGGTCGTCGCGACGGCCACGAACGGGATGGTTCCGTACGGGGCGCTCCCGGTGATTGGTGCCGGGAGCGGCGGGGCGAAGAAGCGTTCCCGTGCCGGCGAGACGGAGACGAAAGCGAAACCCACCGGCAGCAGCGACGACGACGGCGAATCGTCGTCAACGTCGTCGTCTTCCGGAGACGACCAACCCGCGAACGCGGCCCAAACCACCGCCGCCACCGGCGATAGCGAACCAGAACCGACGTCCAAAGAACGGAAACGAGCCGAAAAGAAGCGAAAGAAGGAGGACAAAGAGAACAAGAGCAAGGAAGCATCCTCGTCTTCGGAATCCAAAAAAAAGGCCAAGAAGGAAAAGAAATCGAAAAAGCCCAAGAAAAAGTCCAAGAGCGAAATATAGTAGCGTATTGCATCGATGCACTTCAAACACAAGGCAGTGCGAAGCAACCTAATAACACAAGAAAAGTAGAGCACACAAACACACACACACTCCCGCATTGTACACTTGCATAGCATGTAGCGCAAAATTGACTTTCGGAGCCAATGCTGTTTAGGTGTTTGAAAATAGAAGACGACCAAAAACTCGTTACAATCTACTGTAAAGGCAAACAAACGCACATAGTTCTCCGAGTGTATACGATGTGTTACAGCGGCATTGCACTTTTACATTCACAACAATGCACACGCAAGCGAACTAGTTTGGCACACACTGAAATAGAACGACTCTGTGGCTTCGAGCAACAAATGCGCCAAATGACCCACTTCATAGCGTAGCCGTTGCTCGTCTCGTGTTTTGCCAGAAAAATCAAGCGCTATGTTTATCATTGTTTCAAAAAATTACGCAGTACCTGCCGTGCTTGCGTTCGGGTTTGCACTCGAAATGATCCCGTACATTGCGATTGCGGTTGCGCCCGTGCGACTACCAACTGGCGGGAAACACAGTCACGCTTCCGTTGCCCCACGCCTTTGTTTGATCGAGTCTGAGGGGAGAAGCCGGTGCCTTCCTCTCCGCTCCGCTCCATCGAATCCTTCTCGTCCATGCTGTGGTCACTGCGAGATTTGCAATTTTTGCAGTTCCACACAATCTGCAGCCGAACCAAACGGGAAGATCCAGGGTTCTAGAGGCAAATATCCTCCGTTTCGCTTAGCTTCGCATCGCAACAACACAGCCGGTCGAAGCCCGAGGACCGTGGGCCGAACCTCGGTGCTTCTGCCTGTAGGGATGCGCTCCAGAAGTTTCCTCTCCGCAGCGGAGATGCCGAACGACGGCTTGCCGTCCGGCACGATGCCCTACAGCCCCTCCTTTTCCTTCTTTCCCGAAAAAAAGGGAAGGGATCCCGCTCGGCGCAGCACCAGGACCAGGAGCAACAGCCCGGCCATCCAGGCCGCCGGATTCCTGCCGGGAGCGTACTCCCCGGCGGCGTCGACGACGCCGCCGATGCCCATCTTGGGCGCCCCAAGCAGGTTGTACTCGTTCGTCGATTCGGCAGTGCGCGAGCCCAGATCGCCCTCCTGCCAGGCCAGGCCGCGGATGTGGTTGTACCACTCGACGCCCTCCTCCTCGCCAAAGCCGATAAAGTGCGTGTAGTTTTCCAGGAGCTCCTCTCCCATGCGGATGTCCCGCAGGGCGTAGCAGTCACCGTCCAGGTTGATGTCTTCCTCGGTCTCCCCGTGGTTGACAAAGGAGGCCGGATCCAGTGCCAGCGACACGTACCCCTCGCCCTTCTCGACGTACGCCCAGAGGAGGGCGTCGCACTGGAGGTCGTGGTCCAGCTCGCCCAGAAACGACTGCAGCTCGAAGGGGGTCGAGAAGGACACCAGGTGGGTGCTCTTCCACACCTTGGTGCCCTTCTTGATGGGCTCGGCCGCGTAGACCGAACGGCCGCGGTGGCCGTCGTCCCGTATTTCCACCTGGACGGCAAAGCCGCTGTAGGAAGGTAGATCGTCCCGGCGAACCGAGTACCCCCTGTTGTCCACCGTCTCGATGTACGTGTCCTGCAAGAACCGCCACGTCAAAGCGTCGTGGATGAGCCGCTTGTAGTGGGAGGTAGCGCAGTCCCTCGGAATTGATTTTGCGGACTGCTTCTTGCTCGCAGAGCCCTGTGCGAGTCGTTGCTGTTGTCGAAGGTTTTGGCCGCCTCCCATCCTGGAAACGCTGCGGTCCTGGCGACCGAATTCGATCTGGGCTCGTCGGTCCATGGATGTTTTACTGTCTTGTTTTCAGTGCTTTCTGGTTTGCTTGGTTGTTTCGTTGAGAACGAAGAGAACGAGAGACAGAGACTCGGAGTGCCGATGTTGATAATCACGATAGATGCCGTAGAGTTCTTCGAACGTACGAGTACAAGGAGAAAAGCATTTATTTTAAATCCCAAGAAAGAAAATTGAAGAAATTTTCAAATCCCTGACGACGCCAGTCTTGTTGGAACCACCATGGCACGAGCTCACTCCGATCGATGTTTGCCAATGACCGGTGCTTTTGAGAATTAGTCATACGAGTCGTCTGATCCGACCCGGAGCAATAGGGACTTTCTTTGTACTAGTTCGTATTCGTTTTCGCTCGTCCGTCCCCATTCCTTCTGGAATGGCATGTATTTCTTATGCACGATTGGCATACGCTCAGGAGAATTCTTTCCGTCGATGAAATCAATTTTAAGGACTCGTTTTATCCTACCGTACGGTGACTCGTATTAAGCTGTACGGACGACCGACATTCCCAGAGGGCTGTGAATATCAATTTTCTATTTTTCCGGAATCATCCACGACTTATCATCCCTCAATTTTCGGTCTTCGCTACCGGGTACGAGTACCGTACCTCATCAGATACGAGGTTTCTTTACGGAGCGTTTAACTGGTAGCGGAAAGACAAATACTTCTATTCCACAGTCATCGCAATCGCAAGAAAAAATAAATTCAGTATTGTACGGTACCGTACAGTACGGTCGTGCGGTACTTCCACGGAAAGAGGTGCGCTTCCAAAGTGTTACAAAGTGTATCAACCATCCCATCACATTGCGTTACTTTCTGAAAGTCCTTCTGGGATCATCGGAATAGACGGCTTCAGAAGTACAAACCAAGTGACCGGAACAAATACCAAACGAATCGATAACAATACAGGAATAGATAGATACCTGGTGACGGAAACAGCGATCCTGCGTTCTAACAAAGGATATTGATTGGGATTTCATCGAATAATCCAGTCATTCCAAAACAGCTTAAAAGAGAATCCTGTTGGGGAGACTTGATACTACTTTGGATAGAGGCAAAGTAAAAAAAATGGAGGCGTCCAGTCGAAGCATCTTGGTCGAAGATGTCAACGACGGAGACGAAGACACATTTGGAGTCGAAACCGACACCGAGGCCGACTTTGACTTCGACGAACCCGAAGAAATCACCGACGACTTTCTGGACGAATTGTCACCATACGCCTCCACGACCAACTTCGATTTCGGAGCGTCCGCAACCTCCGCGGCCTTTGAGAACTACAACATGTCCGGAGCCGGTACCGCTTTAGTGGACAACAACGCGTCCACGGACTTCGACTTTTTGTCGGATCCGGTTCCGGGCGGTACGGAAAACGGCAACGGCCCCGCCGCCGGTTTAGAAGCTCCTTCGGCAGCGGGCGGTGGGGACAACGCTTTGGATGCCTTTGGCGATGGCATCGGAGATGCAGCTACGCCAGATGCGGCTCCGGTCGGCCGAGGCCTCTTTGGAACCCTAGGCCGCATGGGACGTATGGTGGTAAACGGCGCCGGTGGTGGCAGATCCGCCAACGACCAATCCCCTCCCGATCTTCTCGACATGGACTCCGGCGCGGATGACCCGAACGGAACCACCGGGCAGCAATTCCAGGTCGACTTGGCGGGGGGCATGGCTGTCCAAAGTGATTCCACGGACAACGGGTCCAACGATGTGGATCCTTTCGACGGTACTGCCGCTGGCGAAACCGGAGAGCCCCAAACCCCCTCGGGCGGCGGCTTGTTCGGGACGCTCGGCCGCATGGGCCGCATGGTGGTGAACAGCGCCGGAAAAACCAATGGCAACGACGACGATCCGACGCCACACGATTTGCTCGACGACGATGGGGGCTTCCCCCCGGATCGGTTCGACGACGAAGCCGAGCAGCAGCAAGGCGGCCCGGAGGGCAGTGCTGGCGCAGACAGCGACGCCCCGACGCAACAAGCCGCGGGAGGTCTTTTTGGGACTCTCGGTCGCATGGGGGGCCGCGTGGGGGGCCGCATATTCCGCAGTAGATCTCCAGAGCAAGTCGACCCAAGCGGCGACAACGATCTCGATGCCGACGGAAATTCGTTGCCCCACCCGGGTTCCCTGGAAAACAACAACAGCAACGTTGCCAATCCCATGGGAGATAGCGGAGATCTCAGCAACCTGGGAGGTCAGGGCAATTCGCTTCCCCACCCCGAGGCCCTGATGCGGCAATCCAATGCTGCTCCTCCTGCTGCGGATACTGGCAACGTCAGCGGGAACAACGATGATGCCATACTGGATGTCAACGGAAACTCCTTGCCCCATCCCGACGCCATGAATCCCGACAGCCTTGCTATTTCAAAGGAGGACGAGAATCTAGACATCTTGCATGGAGTCGGCAATTCTCTGCCCCATCCCGAGGCCCTGATGCGGCAATCGAATTCATCTGCTAGGGATTTCGGCAACAATGACGGAGAAAACGATGATGCCATTCTGGATGTTGATGGAAATTCTCTACCCCATCCTGATACCATGAAATCCAAGAATGTAGCCAATGGCAAGGAT